TTGTATTTTTGGACATGTTTGTTCATTGCAAAGGTAATTATGAAATGAAAGATGAGGTCGACATATACGTGAAGATCCTGGTGTCTACTTGCTAAAATACTTGAAAGTCCATAAAAAATAGTTTTATGCTATTAGTGCAATTGAACAGTATGTTCTTTCTTACCGAGTTTGTAAGTGGCTGTTGAATGTATTTTCAATTGCCTATAAAGTTCTTGTTAGTAGGAATATGTTTTTCAATAAGGGTTTTGATTAGATTGGATTTGAGTTGGGTTTGATCTTCAACCTGAACCCAACACAAAAAACCGAATGGGGTTTAGATCAATTTGGGTGAAATCCAAAAAGAATTATGGACAAAAACAAATTGTACGCTCTATTAATTGTAAATCAAGTCAAAACACTTGGCCAAACATCTGAGCATTCAAAGTTGCAAGAACGAGAGAGTGCCATCACATACTAATCACATCGCGTCCGCAATTGAAAATACATTCAACGGCCACTTATAAACTCGATATAGAAAGAACGTACTCTGCAATTACACTAATAACAGAAAACTATTTTTTATGAACTTTCTAGTATTTTAGCGGCTAGACACCAGGATCTTCACGTCGTAAGGACAGGTATATGTCGACCTCATCTTCCATTTCATTATTACCTTTGCGATGAACAAACATGTCCAAAAATACAATTGGTTGTTGAGCTTCGTGTGAGAGAACCATTTGGACTGAATTGATCTCATTCACACCACGAAACATTTTCATCGCATTCAACAACTTTTTCAACAGCGTAAAAGTAGCACATATCAATCTATGATAAAGCAATTCAAACTCATTCTACTCAAGGTATACTTTTTGAAACTCGGGTCCAAAATTACAACCAACATATAGAAATAAGAATCATCTTAATGGAAAAAACTTGGTGTGCAACGTACAAAGCGTTCTTCATTAGATTCAGATTGTCAAGAATAGTCACATGTACTTCAATATATGAAAACAATTCAACGAACACAAATATTACAAGGAAGAACGTTGGTACTTCTCCCCTAACATTAATATCAAGGGCTATTCAAACCTTTTTAGTTGATCACAGATGTTTTGAAACCTTTGCCATTCATCATCACTAAACTACAAGTGATCTAGTTGATGCTTCCGATTTGAAGATCAATAGTAAGTCAATTTTTTAGTACAGTTTGAACTTTAATTGCTATTTCAACCATTTAATATGTTGAAATCCAATGAATTGAGACATCCAACATCATCATCATATTTTCACAATTAGCAAGACTGCAGTGTCCACAAAATTGCTTTTTTTGATGAGGATAAGAGCGCAACTTTTTTACTCTAAAATGTAGTTTTTTGATGATGTTAGAAGCATTATTGTAAGGAATTTTTTTGTCAATTAAAATATTTTTAGTTCTACTACAAATGCTTCTCTAAAAGATTGATAATGTGTGATAGACATAGAATCCTTAAATCATCTGGTTCCAAGCCTTCGATATTCTTTCACGAATGCAAAAATCCTCAATAAAGTCTTCCAGGCTTTACATTAAAGTGTTGTTGTTTTAGGCATTGTCCATGATCAAACATCCAACACGCTTAAAAATTTCAAATTACTCCAATGTTTGCTGTATAATTTTTTTTATTTCAACCTCATTGTGATTAGTCGTGTACGTAAAAGCAAAAAGCTTTTCATGAAGAACCTAATCTGGATCAACAAAATGAACAAATATAGTCAAAAAAGAAAATGTGTTTGAAGATGTTCACAAATTCTATGAAATATGTATGGCAGAATTTTACTTTAAGCTTAGCTTTCATCTTCTTGACTCTTTTCAACATATCATTTTGAAGGTCATCAGTTTTTGGAATCATCTCATTGATGCGTTTGAATTTGAGTAATATTTTCAAAAGTGTTAAAAATGACTTTGACTCAATGATGATGACTGCTTTGGCCTCATACAACACAAAATTTTCAATTGATCCACGAATAAGATTGTTAGAAAAATCCGAGCTTGCTGCTATTTACTTCTTTAGAGCTAAGAAATTCTATAGATAAAAGTTTATTTTATTTTATTTTCAAAATATTGACTTCTTTGATGACTCTTCACATGCTTCACATTGTAATTGTTGACAACGTGTTGTGCAACACCTTATCATCTTATTTTAAACGATTGATGTGTTTATAAACAACACCTCTTGATTTTGTTACTGATTTCTTCATTAAAAATGGTGAGGATTTAATATTTATTGACTTCAAAGTATGTATCAAATCACCCTCATACAATAAAATTGCAATCTCGTGATTGCTAGAAAAAATCTCATGTTTATTTTTTGAATCTATGCCAATAACTTGACTAACAAGAGCTAGATAATCCAAGCAAACAACTTGACTTATGAGAGTTAGATTATGGACGATTTGTTTCTCTCTTTTGTTGAATCATGGCAGATGTAAACAACGACAACGGCCGCTTTGCTTGAATCTTCATGGTTGACATCGATCGAGTAAGGCACACTTTGACATTTTTATGTATCTCGCCAATCGAATGGTATGACAAGATGCGAAAAGCGATAAACAAAGTCGTCCAAACTGTTCAATTGTTGGAGGAGCTCTAATTAGAGTAACGCAGCTTGCTGAAGATTGCTTACAAAAACGCTGTCAACTTTGGCGTACGGTAATTATCCTAGAGCAGGAGCAAGAAAAAAACAAATTCAAGAATGAGCATCATTTATCGATCAAAATTTAGTAACGAGTGTAGATAAAATCAGATATTAATGATATATGTTAAAACATACTCAAACTAGTCCACAAGTGCATACTACTCTCAATCACTAGCCCTGAGCGAAGTTGTTTGTTCTAAAAATAAAAGGTGATTATCATTGCTACTTTTCCAAATTCAAAAATGAAGATGAGATGACGGAAGAGTTTGATAATGCTCTATTTACATACAACTCTACCAGAGACCTTGCATTGATCAAACTGCCATCAATCCATACTCATTGATAGTAACTATTTATAAATTTCTTGATCTTTTACTACAAGATCAAAAATGTATCAAAAGAATAAATCAAAGATACCGCAAAAGCTTTGGAAACTGCAATCAACGAGATGTATGAATTAGGAGAAGATTTCTATTAGAGAAAATCAGATTGATGCAGAACTTCCAAAGGAATATGGCCTAGTTTTAGTATACACACGAAGAGATTGAACTCTGTCAAGGTTAATGTGTTAGACTGTGTCACACTCTGCTATTTTTCTTCTCATTGAATATTAAGTTTTGGGTCGGATACAACACTCTAGCCGAATCCAAATCCGCCCCGACCCGAACAAGGTTTTTTATGTTTCATCCAAATCCGATTGGAGCTTTACTTTCAATGAGCCTCTCTCCATCCTAACAAGGAAATATATCCATTCACTGATAGTATTGTGGAGGAGTTTGATCATTATGTGATTAATGATCAATAAGCATCACCGGTGTTGGTGGAGTTCCAAAGTGAAACATGTGTTTTTGATGTAGCCAATAGGCTTATCATGGAGATGAAATTATTACAATGCGTGATCGATCTTCATTGTGATAACCATAGTGCTTTACATTTGGCTAGAAATCAAGTTATGTACAGTACATTGAAGCACAACGACATCATGTATTTTTATCGGATAAGCCATGTTTAATAAAATGATTGAGCTAGTCAAGATTGACGGTAAACTATCATGGTTGGGTTAGTCAAGATTCACGGTAAACTCTTGATAAAATGATTGAATTTGTCAAAATTGAGGGTAAACTTAATCCAGCTGATGCGTTGGCCAAAGTTATTTCTTTGTAGAGTTTCATGCGACAATGTGCTACTATGTAGGTTGTCTATGAGGAGCACAGGTAGAGTTTGGTAGCATAGTATCTTCAGTGATCTCTTTATATATTTATCTATTCACTTAGGTACAACTTAGTTCTACTCTGATCTAAAGAGATGTCTTGTATTAGGTTTATTTATAAAACTTTTCACGTAATAATTATATAGGTTACGAGATTTCTATTCTCTCTATGCTATCAGGTTTGTTATTAATTCTTCATGTTATTACTCTACACTTTTATGGCTACAATTTAGTTCTAGTTAAGTTTTGTGGAAAGAGTGTACTTGTGCTATGTTTCTGTCTAGTATTTATGCGGAATAATCGTATATGTTACAGAGGATAATGTTTACTCAAAGTTAATGTTTCCTACTCGTGTTTTTCTATTTGACTGTCACTTGATCTTGCGTGTTTGGTACAAGTTGAAAAAAGTTTACTGATTGTTGGAGCGGACACATTTATAAGATTTGAGTTTAAATGGATTTGTGTTTGCAATATTATCTTGTGAGAGAATATCAATTTTGCTTTTTTATTTTTATCTAGTATAGATGCTAAAATATTTGAACAAGGTAAACAAAAACATATGATAAAAATAGATGAAAACTTAAAATCCTCTTTAATTAAGTTTGATGTACCGATGGTGTTGTATCTTTATAAATGGTTTATATCTTTTCACTTGAACTTCCTGCCTGTTAAGTATGGTATCTAATAACCATATTTTAAACTTTCCATTTTCATGTTTTGAGTCATTGCATGAACATAGTTTAAACAGTTTTCTAGTTTCTCATAAATGCTTGATAGTTATTTCGTGCTTTGCAAGATAATAATGACTTACTTCATGTTGTACAAGATAACAATGACTACATTGACACGATAACATGAGTGAGATGCTGACTATTTGGTTCACGGGTTGTGGGGTTAGATCAAGCATTGAGTTCTAAACCCCTAAACCTTTTCAATATTCTGTAGTGGAATGAAAACCGAGAGAATGTTCTATTCACTTCCGATGTTTGTGATAGTATAGCACTCTCTCCCTCGCCTAAGACAACTTAAGAGTTCCTTGTTCAACCTTGACCTCCAACGTTGCAGCAGTGGGGCTGAACAATTAGAGCTCCTTGAACGCCCTTGGTAAATACCCGAGTGTCCGATCTCTCATTCCATAAGAAAAGTATTGCCGTATGGCTACTCAAACTTCTCTCAAAAAGCTCAATTTGCCTGACGATTCAAGTAGCCGTCAGTCGAGGCAAAAGTGATCGGGAGAGAAGCGACGCCGAGAGCATCCCAGAGCATCGTTCCACTGTGTGCACCGGAAGGAGCTGGGTTGAGGTATTGAGGTTTTGGGCTCAACGAGGTGAGTCCGAGGATTGTAGTCCAGTGGGCCCTTGGCACGGAGTAGGTGGTCGGATTCCCTTAGAGCAGTCAGCAGCGAGGAGGCCAAGGAAGCTCCAGAGCGGCTGGCTTCTCTTCTGCTTCAGCACGTCGTGGACGGAGAGGAGGAAGAAAGTGCCGCGACAGTCGAGAGGGAAAATCAGGATCCGTCTTTCGAAAACCTGGGAGGACGAGTCGAGTGTTTGTTGAGCTTTTGGCGAATCGATCGAGGGAGGGAGGGGGGAGCAGCTTCTTGATCGTTAGTCAAGCGTCGGAGCAGTCATGTTTTTTCACATCTATCTGGAGCGGAATATGCAACTGCATCCTCGGCATTTTGGGCCCCATTTGAGAGACAAGCTCATCTCGAAACTGATTCAAGATGTGGAGGGTACTTGCAGGTGAGCACATTTGAGCTGCGGCTTCAAGTCTGCCGTGTTGAAACCTCTTGGGAGCATGCGTGATCGAAGAATCTAGTAACGTCTGAGAGTATAAATATTTTCGTGTTTTACACCAGACGGAATGAAACCTAAAAGGGAACCTGAATTGGAGTACGAGGGTTTTGTGGTTAAAGCTGCTGTATAATGCATTTTCTTGGCAGTGGTCGGCACGGGTTTGTGGTGGCTGTCACAGCTGTGGAGACAATTGGCCAAGGGTTGATCCGTGATGGGACGGGATACGTCACATTTCCTATGAAATACCAGTGTGTTGTCTTTAGACCATTCAAAGGAGAGATTCTTGAGAGCGTCGTCACTATGGTGAATAAGGTATCATTTTTCACTTCGGGACATTTGTTTTTTGGGTTCAATATGATGAATGTCAACAAAAAACCGACTGTCAGATGTTGATAAACATGCGAAAGAAGGAAATGTGAATGGATTGAAATCACTCTTGCTTTGTTTGGTCTGTAGATTAGTACTCTAATCAGTGGCTCTAATCCAGAGCGGACTCGTCAAGTTTGTGGGAAATGGGCCAAAATAGATCAGTACTGAAGATATGGATTTTCGAATTTCATGGGTTAAGACGTACTGTAAGCAACCACAATCACGAAATACCCATGGAGAGCTTGTAGACGAAGTTGCTTAAATATTCCAGCACTACATCAGTTTTCGTCGCTGGCGCACAACCCTGCATGACCAATGTCAAGAACAAATATTTAAGTAAATAAATCTACGGTCATGAAGTCGTACGAAGGTAGTTATTTCCATGCTTGCATTTTTGTCTTTTCACTTAAGGTATATATCATGTTCCATTTAAGGAGAAATTTGAAGCACCAGTGTTCTCCTCCTTGAATCTATAAATTGCAGTGCCCATCTGAACCTCTTATTCGGACCCATTGCAAGTATACTCCTACAAACACCTTTTTCTTCCCGACAGTGCATTTGCAAGTTTGACTTTTGAGATAGCCACAGCTCCCGTGCATCAGTAGTGTACTTGAAAATCATGAATAGTCAGATGCACTTTCAAGTGAGATCCATCTAACTGCTGCACCCTATTTGAATGTTTCAAATGAGCTGCTCACATAAGTAATATTATGGTCTTCATAACTTGAAGACGATAGACCCTTCCCCCTATACGAGCGGTGCCAATAGGAGTGATTGGGTACAGCGAGAATACGGGACAGAAGTAGGTGGGAGAGAAGAGGGAAACACCTGGGAGTGTGGTGATAAATACGATTACAGTTCTCATGAGGTTACGCAGCATCGATAGGCTGTAAATCTCGGTTACATAAAATATGTTGGTTATTTTGTCCAGCAACGTTTACTCTGCAGAGATGTGGAGGAACAGAGAAATAAAAAGCCGTTCACCTCAAGGAATCATGGACATATTTGGTTAAGTAACTTGACGTCAGCTCCCAGTCTGTGTCAGGAGATAATATGTCGTCATCACATGTGAGCAGATGGGTTTCTTCGCTGAAGCCGGACCCGTACAAATTTTCGTCTCCAACCATGTAAGTTTGAACTAGTAGTTTCACGGATGCACTTTTCGAAGTACTCAGTTGAGGTGTTTGAAAACCTTTGTTGTGCAATTTTCTCTAGCTTGACATGATGAAATTTTCTCTGTTATCTCAGCTGATACCAGATGACATGGTTTTTCAATCTGGGGATGTTCCAAGCTACGAGACCTCCGATGGCTCGGTAATTCGATCTGCTGCACTATTATGCACACCAGCGTATTCATGTCTTTTTATCGTACACACCCATTAAGTAGCTTTGAGAATTCTGGTATTGTTTATGATGTTGTTTTGATTGTTTAGCTACTGCCATCAGCTTGTACAACGATGACAGATGAATATCAGTTACCTTACGTTTTTGGCATTATGAAGTGCTAAAAATTTTGTATTCCCCGAACAGGTTAGGATACAGAAGGATAGTGAAGTCCGACTCAAGATCGTGGGTACTCGAGTAGATGCAACTGAAATTGTAAGTCTATCTTTTAGCCTTTTTTTTATGTGCTCTCGTACTCTATCCAGGAAGAGATGTAGCACCTTTGAAGCATGATCAAGTTGTCCTCCTACAGTATGGATGACTTGAACTTAAGTGGGGGAATCTTTCACATCGTGATCCAAACCGCAAAGATTGTGGGTTTTGTAATATCTCTTGTGTTTCTTTCAACGGTCAAGCAACCAAGAAGGAACAGGTATTTAAATTACCTTGGCGCAGCAGGTCCAGCACCAGTTCCACTTCTAACATTCTTTGTTTGTTTCCAGTTTTGTATCGGAACCATTAAGGATGACTTTCTGGGTTTGATTGGAAACCCTGGTGGGGGAGCTTAAGCCTGGAGATCAGCGTGAGTAATGGAACTTGGTCAAGAGCATACTGAAGATACTGTTCAGCACCTCAGCGCTAGCAGACAATCGTCAGGTTGTGAATTGAGTGTATTTGTATTGAGAAAAATGTAGACATTCTGTTTAGGTTCTTTTCTGCCACAGGCCCTCATACGCTTGGAGGAAATTAACAAAGATAGGATCCGTACAGCAACATGTATAATATGATATAATGCAAATACTGCATTCTTTGGACAGGAACATGACTGAAGAGTACTCCAGACTTTGCCAAATGGATATTTGGCTCACAAATCGCAAGGAGAAACTCCTTGCGTTCCTAATTTGAGTCTTGCTGAAATTTGCCCGTCCAGTCGCCAGGTCATTCTATTTCTCTGTATGGCAGGAGGACTTCATGTGGTTTTTCTCTAGACCACGAAGCCCATTCCTCATATAAATCTCCGTCGGTTTTATTAATGTCCTTTCAAACTCTCCCTCAAGACCAAATAAGTTTGTAAGAGCCCCGCCAAAGGAAGTCTCTTGGCTCGTATGAATGTCAAGCAACCACCAGCATATTCCTAACCAGTGGATTACGGAAATAAATGTTATCTGGGTCGAAAGCTATGTCCAGTCCAAAAGTGTGTTTCTTCAGCTATTCAACCGGCCATTCAATTATCGGCAAAGTTGTGGCTGCATGTACTGAACCACCGGAAGATGGTGAGGCGCTGACACTAAGTCCCAGACAGAGCGTTGGCAACTTGCAAAGGTGGGGCACAGAGGAATTAACTCGTAGTAGGGACTTCCTTCCCCGAGAGTAACAGCACACAGAGCTCTTGCGTGTTTTGTGTTGTCTTAGGAGCTTGTCTTCAGTATGATGGTGAAATCATCAAAAGCCGTGGCACAGAGATAGCACCGTTTTTGGGAAGTCTTTCCATTGCTCTAAGTTTTGTCGTCAATCAAGTGGTGGGGTGGGGTCACAGGAGTGCTCCAAAAGCCACGCCTTCACATACTTTGCTCTCATTATTCTCCAACTTGGGGCCGAAAAGCTTGTCTCGACCACGAGAAGAGTGAAGTGTAATGTGAGGCAATAGAGTGGACTAAAGGCTACAAAACTTCTGGCAATGTCCCTAAGGTTGCGAACCACTCAATGGCCCCAAAAAGCTTGTCTTGACTAAATCCGCCGCCCACATGAAGTATATCTCGAGTCAGTCGAGTGCACCAAAATTGACTCGTGTGCCACTCTGACCTTGCTCTCATCTGCAGAAGCACTCATTATTCAGGTTTGCATCCTCTCGAACTTCGCGCAGGGGGTCTCCTGCAATCGCTGTGCCGATTGTGGGCAATCTGGAGCAGGGACCTTCGATACATGTCTCTTCAATTCAAAGCTGGATATGGTTCGAAAGTCACATGTCACAGTGTACACAATGATTCTCTTGCGAGTGACGACTGACAACGAAAGCCACCTCTGACGACCTGTTATGCATAAATATGAGTCAAGTTAATCCGCGCTCGAAAGTTGTCGAGGCTTCCGCGAGCTGGCGTCCTGCACATCGGTCAGAGCTGCACTCTACAGGGCTCATACTCGACCCAGTGACGTGAGCTGTCGAAGGGTTTCAAAATTCCCTTTTGTTTGAACTGCTGACACCTTGCGCCGATCGAGTGGCTCGTGCACATGCGAGACACCGAGAGAACGACAACAGGCTGATAGAAGCTGCTGCTTGTGATTGAGCTTGTGAGCTTGCACACCTGCTGCTAATCTGAGCAGAACATTCAATTTTGAGTATAGGTCTGCATAAATAAACCCGTGGATCTCATGTACATCTCGGAAACGTGGATAAGGTAGAGGACATGTTTCGAGGTGAGCACCGCTTTTTGTCCTGTACATGGCGGCGTGATACGCTGTTCAGCACGTTGGGTGAATGGTTTGGAATTACTGCCGAGACAATAATTCCCTGGGGCTTTCCTTCATGTTGCGGCTTACGCTGACCGGCGTAAGCAAAGTAAGCAAAGTTTGCCCAGCTATGAGGATCATGTGCACCGAGCTGACACCTCCTCAACAACTCGTCATTCCAACCAGTCCTCCGGGTCGTGGAACGTGCCGCGAGACTGACACGGAATTTGTTGGTGATCTGGCATTAGTGACATAGATTCCGATTGTGTTTCCACTGAGGCCCTGAGACAGGTGTTCGACACCGCCTTCGGACAATATTCCTCCCTGTACCCACGTAGCGAACTGTTAGGGACTAATCTCCGGGGGATCGCTGAACAACTTCCAAACTTGTCTCTCTTCCAAGTCACTATGGAACGTATCATCGCACGACAGAACACCAAAATTCGGGTTTAGTGTGGGCCTTCGGATGCAAAGGTTTTATCCCTGAGCCTTCTGGGATTTTTTGGAGTTGTTTGCAAGTAGACGACTTTCATTCTCCTGCACGTGCTGTGGGACAGAATACTGCGGGGCCCAAATCAGACGAATAGATGCTGTTCCCACGTTGTATAGACAGAATTCAGATATTACTTCAGAAGCAGGTCCTTGGGTATGAGCACTAGATCTCCAAAAGCCGTGTGCAGACGAAGGGGTTGATTGGATTGATTGTCATTCAAGCATGATGGACATGGACTAAACACAACCTCAACTTGTTCCTTTAAAAGCACTTCCGAACCATTCATTCATCATCGATTCACCACGACATCCGTTGCAAGAATCTTAAGATTTGAATGGTATTCCAGCTGAAGTCATGAAGTACATGCCCACAGTTAGACTAGTATCTACATATGCTACACATTCAGGTTAAAGTACTTGAAAGTGCTTTACCACAGCTACAAGCCTGATAGCTGGTTGGGTCCTTCCTATCCCATGAGGTGGATAAGTTTAGTTTCTCGTAAGTTAGAGAAAAACAGCGAAAAATTCCACCACGACAAGCAGTGGCAAGCTTACGATCAATGCGATTGATCTGTGATATCTTTTGAACGTTTGTACAAAACAGAAAGACGTCACCTAAGGTGTCTGGGTCTCCCAAACTCATCGCTGATATGTCATGTGATTGAGTAGGGGTAGTTGAGTTTAAAGAGTGAAGTTAGAGACGGTCTCATAGGTCAATTGACCAAGCGCTGCACAACTGTGCCGCCACATCTGCTACTGAACTCGCCATCCAACCTTCAGGAAATTCCATCGCAGCTGATTCTTGAAGGCTCGTAATTAGTTCTTTCTTACCGTCCATAGTCAATCCTAAGAACTCTGGTCCCTTTGTGGAATTCAGATCGGCAACCTGACAGAAAAACAAAACAGTTTAATAAAAGTTCAATCGTATTACACGCATGTAGTGATTGTTTCTATTTTACTTCAATCAGTATGCCTCAGATTTGGCCCGAAGACCCACTGCGCATTGACCAGTTCATGTTGAACGTCAATACAAATCGTCAAGAAGCAGCGCAGGATCTGATCAGAAAGCTCTTGAGACAAAACACAGGAGACCTGCGAACAGCTCACAGCAATTTACCTGATGCACCCAGGGTAGGACGGAATCCAAGAAACTCTGCTGTTGCAGCAGCTGAATGGACATTTGGAGCATTTCCAACGCCGTGCCGCTGGCCAATTTGTTTAAGACAGGTCCGGTGTGACTCATCAATCGGATCAGCAGCAGCTCATCTCCCGAAGACATCACGTCTACATAAGCTGCGTCCATGTCTCCAACTCGGATGTAATCCATGGCACGACTCCATAGCATCCAAAAAGTTTCCTTGCCTTTGGCTCCTCCTACATCTGAGTTGTTCATTCTAGCAGAAGCACCAAGTGGTTTTTCTAGTTCTGATCCAGGCCCTCTTGGATCTTCTCCAGCACCTCTGATGGCTTCCAAAGTGGCCTCGTCTTTGGAGGCCTGCCACACACTTCTGACTACGTGATTTTCTCCATAAGCTCCCGATCCACCAGACCTCTCCCACGCATGCCTGGGTGCCGGATCGCTGTCGTGAGCTCCTCTACCTCCCCTTTTAGTTCGAGAGTTGGGTGAGTTCTGTATTATCCTTTGAGAGACCATGGGGGGAGCTGCGTGAGACATGATAGATGGTCCTACCCTGTTCGAAGGGCTGTAATCATCCCAGCCATCCGCATCTGAATCGTTAGCCTTCCAAGGTGAAGATCTACCGCTTCTCATACCGGAAGAGGCCATTTGGTCCCCGCCAGGCCCCCTATCAGCGAATGCTGCCCGACTCGAATTCGCTGCTTTTCTAAGCTTGTCACTCAAACTCTGGGAACTCGCCAGAAACTTGTTTAGAGAGCGAGCTGGAGGGGCTTCGTAGCCCGAGGAGCTTCCGTTCATTATTCTACTCACAGACATAGGCACATCGCGCGCGGAATTGATAACTCTTTCTAATCCTCGAACCCTCAAGTCCATTTCGAGCATGCTTTGATGGACATCAGCCATGAACTCCTGAACAAAACGAAGAAACGTTCCGTCAGACAATCTCCTTTCATCAGCGTGAATACGACTTTCATTTTCCTCTCCACCGAGCACTCAGAAGTGTCCGCAAGGAAAGCACGGACAATTACCTGGAACATTTTCAGATGGTTCCGTTGCTGAAACTCCAGCCGTTGTAGCTGTTTCTGCACAGACGTCCATTCATCCATGCTACTCACGGCTGGACCATCGTCTTCGTAGGTAGCACTACTTGAAGGACTCGTGGCAGGACCACTAGTTTCCCAACTATCAACATCTCTGTCCACGTCCCTATCCTTCTCAATCCAAGGAGATTCCACAAGGACTGGTATAGGATTTGTGATTACTGACAAATTATTATTTAAAGTCTTTCCATCATAAGATCCAATTCCAGGCTTTGTGGAACTCCTCTCATTCGTACCGGTGAATTCCCCCCGCCTCCAAACAAGACTCTCTTGGTACTGTTGCTCCACAGCTGCTCGTCTAGCCGCAGCTGCTTGCTCATCAGCATTAGGCAGTCCATTGCCTGCATAATCCTGGGTCTTTATGTGCTCAACTTTCACATCTTGAGCCTGCAGATTATCTTCTTCGGCCGGGTCCTCGGGTGCCTCTCGGGGTTCAGGAAGGGCCACCTCAATTTCCCAGTCATCATCAGTTTTACCCTCGATTTTCTTAAAGAAATCGGGGTTTAGTTTCATGTCACTAAGAGGAGGAGGTCGCCTCTTTGTGTTGCTGCCACTCCTACTTTCTGGTCCCGTTTTACCAGATCCTTTTTTAGCTCCGCCTGGTTTAGTGGCTGAATTTGAATCGCCAGTGGAGTTCCCCGATCCGTTGGTCGGTGACGTGTTCGACAAACTCTGCCTCCTATCGAAATATTTGGCCGCACCGTCTGCGTGCAACCAGACAGCTAGAACTCAGTACATTCGGTGACAAAATTCGCAACCGAGAAGACTTTCTCCAGCATCCAATATCCTAGTATGTCGGTGGTGGATCCACCTGTAGTCTCCATTGTCCAACTTATTAGATGCACTCAGTTCACCACCCATCAGGAAAAGCGGCAAATCCCCACCCTTGCAAACAGATTGTACAAATTGAAGCTTCCACAAAATGGAATGATTAACGATGTAGGACGATCGACAAATTTGTCCAGCACTTCACCCTCAGGTCAACGATCCACCTCAGAAATGTTCCTAAATCAAGCCCAGTACCCTCGGACAGTACCTCTGTTGGCAACTGTTCCGCCTGGACTGGTGTTTTCGGGTTCTGCGGGTAGATTCTTCCATAGCTGAAGTGCTTCTCCGACGCTGTCTCGAACGGGTTTGACCTGCACGTAGAATTTCCAACCATAGACGCACATCAATCAAAGGAGCTGAACCTGTTACCCAAGTCACCGACCCTAATACACGGAAGCGGCACTGCGTAGCGTTTGGCCCTTGGCCAGTTTAAGCTTGGGCAATGATGTGCCGATCACTTGGAAAAGAATTATCCACGGTTGGGACCGTGTGAGTCCGGGCAGTACGCACAGAATGGGACCTACAGAAAAGATGTCGACTGATGGAGCTCTAGAGACAGCATAGCAAACGATCCAAAATTATCAACATGCGTCGTGAGTCGAGCGCGTTGGCTACCTTGTCAAACCGCGAATTCTCAAGAGCTTGAGTACAAGCAGGCTTAAAAGCAACCAGCGCAGGACCCACGGTCGAGGCTAAGCGAGCCAAAGTGTCCGCTGCAGCCTTTCTGGTGGCCCAGTCTGTGTTTTCGAGAGCCTCTTGCGCCAGGGGAACCAGTGACGTCAAGTACTGCGCAGCGCCTGTGCCTGCTGCCTGCAAATCAAACACGCGTCGGCTGAGTCAAATTCGGATCCTCCCTCCGCAATGAACACGACCTGTCCTGGCCAATCATCATTCCTCTCACCCAAATGTGGCGACAATTTTATTTCGAACTACAAATCCTCTCACAACCAACATTCCACAAGCGTCCATTATTTGAACCTTCAATCAATTCGGCCGACACCCAGCAAAAACCCTGAAGTGTTGAATTCGCCTACGAGCCTCATCGATTGGGCCGGTGCATTCCCTCAAGGATGTCAATGCCGATTATTCTTGCGACCAACTGCCAAGAAGGCTCGGTTCGCTCATCCTTTCAAGGTGGTGTCCGAGAAGCTCGGGGGCGAAGAGCATACAGGAAGCTGGTTAAATTTAAAGAGAAAGTGGCAGGGTTAGCTCGGAACCTGGAACAGACTCCCGATCGCAGACAGAAGCGCAGCTTTGGCTTGGAAGCTGGGGGCGTTGAAGAACTTGCAAATGCGGGGGCAGAGTTTTTGGAGCATGGCAGGCTGCTGGGTCTTGAGGCACTCGAAGACCCTGGCCACGCAGAGGGCGGCTCCAATCTGCAGGTTACGATTCTGCTCGCCCATGGCATCGAACAGAGGCTTGACGAAAACGGGCATCGGCCCTCCCTCGCCCCCTGCCCCGGGCACCTGAGCAGACAAGCACCCCATAGTCTCCACACACGCATCCCTCACGTTGGTGTCGGGATCCTTGAGCCGGCGGACGATTGTAGTGACGATCTTCGTCAGATGCGGCATCAACAAATCTCCATGGACGGTGGCGAGGGTGCCGAAGAGCCTCACGCACTCCCTTCGAACCACGCTCTTCTGCTGAGCGTCGGTGTCGTACAGGCAGTTGAGGCAGAGGGAGATTCCTTCGGGGGACAGGCTGAGAACAATGCGCTCAAGGTCATCGACTGCTATTTGCTGAGTATCGCGATCGGCCAGCTTGTGGAGGGCGCCGAGAATGCGATGCTTGAGCTCGATGAGCAGCAGTTGAGTCGGGGGCCCTGAGGTTTTCGCCGTCCCGCGTGACCTCCCCATCATGACGGACAGAATGTCAAATCGACTCGTCTCGTGGTTGTTATCAGTGCTGCTGGCTGTGCTGCGACAGCAGCTGAGACAAAATGTTAATCCCTTCCTCTGGACGCGCAATTAAACAGCGGATCCTGCCACCATAGCCAGGACGGCCTCGACGAGCGCAATGCCGGGGGCTTGAGCAGCAAGAGCAGCGACGACGCAGTTGTTGCACTTTGAAGACGGAATCCCGCCACCATAGCCAGGGCGAGAAGGCGATGAAAACTCGAAATGCCGCAGTCCCCGTTTCCCCTCAGGCCGGGCCTCCGCTATTCAAACCTTTTTGAATCGCTCCCCGCCTCCCTCCCAACGAACACAACCGAACGGAAAAGCCGACGAATCAGCCCCCAGAATGCCCTTCTGAGCTCGTGCTCAGATAATGCTCGTGCACCTCCCCCCTCTCCCTCCCCCTCTCCCTCTCTCTGGGCACAAGACTCGGTGGCACCACGACGCTCTCCGCTTGTGACGGTCTCTCAATCTGTCACAGAACCATCTCGCTCGCTCGTCGGGCCTGCTCTCGCCCTGCCTCGCCCTGCCTTCCCTCTCTCGCTCCCTCCCGTTTCGGTTTGCTTGACCTCGAGGCCCCGACTCGTCCCACTACAAACTACCACCTGTGGTTACGCAACAGAACCTCCTCCTCCTCCTCCCCTCGTCGACCGAGACAGACTCTCTTCCACTCGAGTGGCATTCATTCACTCATTCAATCGAGAGAACACACCGAATGCGCCACAGCGCTACGCAATGGGGTCGCGCGACTGATACCGGCATCCGCGAGGGGAGAGGGCGACCGGCAGGCGCGCTCGAGCACGAGCACGAAGCACGGGGACGAGAGCGAAGACGAGCGAGGGCGCCGCTCTCTCCTCTCAACGTGTCTCTGGTCCCCCCACCGGCCACATTTGTAAACCGAGCTGCGCTGCGCTGCCGTGGGTCTCGTCTCTCTCTCCCTCTCTCTCTCTGTCTCTCTCTGGGGGTCTGACTGGCTGCTGGCTTCGTGTCAGTTCGGGACAGAACAATTGTTCGAGTTTGAGTTCGGGTGGGGATTTGAAGCAGCTCTGACTTTCGTCCGCTGCTTTTCCTTTTCCCGGGCTTTTGCTCTCTCTCTCTCTCGCACAGGCTTCCCAAAAACCACCTCTCGGAAATAGAATGCCAGGCACCGGGCCGGGCCGGGAATCTATCTTGCTTCCTGTCTATCCATCCGTCTCCGTCCTGCCCCCGTCCTGTCCCCTCTCCCCCCGCCCCAAACTTCTGCTCGCCTTCGTCTGCTGCCCCGCTCTCTCTACCGAGAAGAAGAAGACGAAGAAGAAGTAGAAGCTCTCTGCGTCCTCAGCCTGCTGCTGCTGATTGCAATGCAGGACTGTTCTGCGGACTCCAATCACCTACCCGACACTGCCGAGCTGGTCACGGTCACCTACGCCTTCACCCCACCTACATTACTCTCCATCACTCCTCCTCCTCCGCCTCCTCCACCCACAGCGCTTTCTACTCTGTCCCCTCTAATCTCGTATTGTGTCATATATGGTGTTTTGATAGTCTCCCGATCACGGGCGGGCGGACTCGCTCGCTGCGTTCCCTTGCTGTTATGAAAGTGCACCACTTCTCTTCTTCTCGTACTCTCTGTCCTCTAATCCTCTCCCTCGGTCGTCTCCGTTGCAGCTCCGGATGAGTGCAGCTGTCGTCTGCTGTCCGGAGAGCGGTGGTCAGAGTTGGGGGGTGAGTGCGGAAGCAGGGACAACGGCACAGAAGAGTCGATTTGCTCCCTTCTTTGTTCTCGTCATTAATGAACCGATCTTGTCTCGGCCTCAATCGTTCTCCTCCTCCTGCCCTGCTGGACAGAGGACAACTGTTTTATACGACTCCCCGCACCTCCTCCAACAGTGAGACGACTTGACTGGCTGCCAAATCTGGGCCTCGCCTCGACTCTCGTCCACGCACTGCTCGCTCCACTGTAGACCACCTTTTCTCGCTCCTCTGATGGCGGTTCCTCTCGTCGATCGATCGGCCCGCCGCCACATTTGGAGGTCCGGGTCCCGCCCAACCCAGGGTGAACCAACCCCCAGCCCCGCGCATTCCACCGCGGGTCAACTGTCGAGCTCTTCTTCACCACATCCACATCCGAGAACATTGTGGCCCGTCCCCGACTAGAATCCTCGCCCTTTTCATGACACCGTCGCTTGTTCTTCTTCTCACCCCCCACATGCACTTTGGCAGGCATTCGAGAGCCATTTTGCAGACGTCCTCGCCTCCCCTACCTCCTCCTGCAGACAATCATCCGTCCACCCCGAAAGGCATTCCATCAAAGCCCACCGAAACACGTGTAAAAGCTTCCCCATCGAAATCCATCATGCACGTCGTAGCAGCCCAGACGAAAGAAGCAGAAGTGGTACTGCACACGACTCGATCATCTTCACTCGACTCTCTCTCCAAACGGCCACCAGTTTGAGTTGAACACCCCTTAGACCCCCCCCCCCCCCCCCCCCCCCGAATTCCCCGTCATACGCCGGGGGGACGTTTCTTGATCGAAGGGGGGAGCCGGTGACCGGTCAGTCATGCGCGGGCAGGAGGGTGGCCTCTCGTCGGCCATGCAAGCCCGACAACGGTCACGCAAGAAAGGTTGGGGGGGGGGGAGGAGAGACTGGATCCCACTAGCGCGCGGGTTTGAATCCGGCGCCCGCTGCAGTCAGGCAGCGACAAACTAACGGTTCCGGTCGGACGGAGAGAAGCCAAGGGGGGCGGTGGCGACGGCAATCGTTATCCACCGGTGGTTGCGCCTCGGTCCTTGCCGGGGGATTTATTCAATCCCACGCAGTCCTAGAGATCTTCTGCCGTTCGTCCGCTGGAGATGCTGCTGCAGGCAACAGCGCAGTTATCATGCAGCGTGTGGGAGAATGAGATCTTAGGACTCCGGGATCTTTCGAAAGTGGAGGACTGTTGTCGCTTCCCTTACGGTCCTTGCTTCCTCGTCCCGGCTCAATACTTCCATCCCGGATTACAATGATTCTGAAAATTCTTTCCCCTGGTCATCGTCATATCATCATCACCGCTGATTGATTGATTCCAGCCAGACCTTGGAGCCTTCGCATGGCCGACGAGAGGACTCTGCGAGGCGCATCTAACGCTTCCCACCTTAAATTAGCTCCCGATGATGGGTTCTGATGATGTACACTGCCAGAGCTTTCCCGTTTTGCTTCCTCCTTGCGATTCAAAACTGATCCGAGTTTTGGAGTGAGCAGCAGCACCCTTGAGGACGAGCATCCTGATCTTTCGGAGAAATTTTTATTCCGGACCCAGTAATAAAGATGAAGATGAACTCAGCACAACCATCATCAGTCGCGAGTGCGACTCGGGTCAACGAAAGTCAATGGAGGCAATCGATCCGAGTATGAAAGCAATGTTCCAGAAATGATTCACAAGCCAAATCTCGGACCCTGGTTTGCGAGTAATTTGCGCATCGATAGACATGTGTGGACCGAATGTCTAGAGAATTTCCGCCGGAGGACAAGTACGTGGATCAATTTCTAGTTTGACATCTTTCTTACAACACTCCGGCTTTGCTGAAGGTGAGAGATGGTCTGCAGAGAGAATGAGATAAAATCGTCGTAAGACATCGTTCATGCGATGAGACGAAGTTTGTTTTTATACATTTGTTTGACTTCTGGAGGTGATATCAAGAATCACTAGAAGACCGGTGAACGAACAACAGGAATGGTGGTAAGGGCAGTACATGTTCAGGTACTGGTCTTTGTTTAAAGTGTGGCATGCATGTTTCATTTTTTTTCACGAATACTGGGGTCTAGTAACGGCGGTTGAGCAAACAGAAACTATTGTGCTTCTCGTATGCATGTTCTTTGCCTTCACCACTAATTTGACCCGGTCTTCAAGCTCTGAGTCTGGACAATAGAATATCTGGAAGGTATCTTGATCCCCTTCGTAATTGTAAAACTTTGAAAGGGTGGAAATCACAAAACATCATAGAATCCCCAAAATGTAAATAAAGCAGCAGCAACATGGAAAAAAATCAATCCTCGTTTCACGCACTTTTGGAGGAGCACAAATGTTGTGATCGCAAAGAAATGGCGTCATGCTGAGGATGTTCTTCATTTTTCCTCTTTTGCTTTCCCTCCACCACCGATCTACAATGTCCTCGACCTCAAAAGTAACATGAGCATGACAAGATTTGTGAAAGGCAGGTTTTCCCGTTCCATCTCTTCAGCTCATCAGTTGCAAGGCCCTAGTAGTTGTAGTAGGGAGTCCAAAATATTTTGCCTGCGTCCGCTGCTCCTCAGTCGGATCCTCATCCGATGACAAGGTCGAAGGTAGATGTCAGACCTGCACCCCAGACAACAAAATGCAAGTGTAGATCGAAATTACTAATCAGTTCAAACAATCTCAAAGGGCGAAGTTGAGTTCTGAGTCATGTATTTCTCGTCGCCGTCCCAAAAGGACCAAGAAGTACATCAACTAGCGATGGCAGCTTTTCGGGCATGATGTATTTCAAACTGGGTAATGTGCCAAGATTTAGGTGAGGTGGGTCACGCTCACGCACATGTCTGCATGCGTGTCGTCCTCGTCCTCGGCCCGTAGGTGTAGGTGGGCGTATTTTCTTGGAACGTCGAGGTTCTTGATTGAGCTCGGTCCATAAACTCTGTTTGCAAGATTTTAGGATCACAATTTCCACTCTAATGGACGTGGGTTTGTGCTAAGAATCTGCATTATGGAATAGTGCGAGACCTGGTGAGAACGTGGGTTCTCTTCAAGGTTTCGATCCTGGTATATCTTGTTGTTATTCATGCTCTCAACATGAAACTGGAATTCATGGTCATCATTGGCATCGTGTCGAGTGAGGTGTTGTAAACCCTTCAAACGCCGGCATCACAACATTCGATCCTCATTTTGCTGTTAGGCTTACATAGTTTTTCTTATTAAAGCAATTACGATCCTTCAAAGGAATGATCAAAGATTCAATGTAAAATGCCCTCTGATTACTGGTCGTTCGAGCGTCCACCTGTACACTTTATGAATCAAAAGGAGGTCAACATGATACACATAAATGCGATTTTGAGGTTTTCACGATGGAATGCTTTACTTTATCAGTGTGGGGTTTACAAAAACTAGACTTAAGAATTTGATAATTACTTGTCGAGATTTAGATTCTAGATTTGATTCTCAAGTTCAGCTTTAACTATGAGTAGGGTCATGGAAGTCTTCGTTTGATTAAGGAGGATTCAAGGATGTACCTTCTATGAAATTACTGGAAGTTTCATTTGACGTCATAACTGAGGAGAATCCCCGTGCATGGGAATCTCTCTATCAACCATCCAAAGTTTGGCATCTACAGATGTGTCTCCCAAGTTGTCTACGGTAGAGATGGTTTGAGAGAATGACTACCTAATAAAGCTGAGTAACATACGGAATATACAGTTTAAGATCCTTGCTTTACTGGACAAAGTTTTCAGAAATATACCGTCGAGGAGCGAAACGGAAGACCATTATCGTTGGAAGGAACCCACTGCCAATCAAACATGGGGAATCGACTCATTTTCTCTTATACTTTTACAAAAAAAGTCTCATGGGAAATATAGAGAGTTCAAGCTGTTTTTCGTTACCACCCAAGGACTCAGCATCCCATCCTTCTATGCAAAAAGTTCATTATTATTCGTCTGTGGCCCATGTTTTGTTGCGTGAAGAGATCACTAAACTTTCCACTTTCAAACCATATACATGTTGGAACGAACTTGTTCCCCACCTAAGGTTCACGTTCAATATGTGATGCAATTGCAAAAGATATGTATTGCAGGCCAAAGCTTACCATCTTCCATACTTTATCTCAATCATATGAGCATTACTTACTCTACGCCGCAGATTATCCGGAAATAAAAATGCTTGAGGCTCCAAAAGTTTCTAGCACAACACTGAAAGTTCACCATTACTAACGAAGACACTCTTCATTTTGGAGAGAAGATTGCATGTGAGTCACATATATGTAAGCACATTATTGGAAGCATATATGTGCTTACATATATGTGACCCACTTTCACGGGAGAAACTCCAAGACTCCACTATCATACACTTGAATGTCAGTGCGTGACATTCAAGTATCTTATTCACCATTGAGGGCTACGTGCACGTAAACACAAGAAGTTTCATGGATAAATATCTTCAAATGTCAGCAAGAGCATCTGCTAGCTCTCTTTTAAAACGACAGCTTACTCCTAGCCTAATTATTGTTTAATCAACATAAGTTAAACATCTGATTTAAATTCTAACAATAAAGTTTCCTAGGAACAAGATGATTTATTTCAAAATAAAAAAATTTCAAATTTTGAACTCCCTTTTATGAATGTGATATCTATGAATCAATTATGTCTTACTCTATGACATCAGCAAAACTCTCTTGCAGTTTAAGTAGTTTTGTTATAATTTAATTCAGGTCTTTGATTTAGGTTTAATAATCCTAGTTTAAGTTATGCTGTCACTATAAAAGAAAGATGGCAGAAGCTCTCTTCGTCGATGTAGCACTTAAGGGTGACCGTATATTTCTAGTGTAGTCGTGTGAGTATTTTTCAACTGCAAGTAGAATTCCTGCAACAATTTTAAATTCACTCCCTTTAACCATATGAACTATGAGTATCCAACATTTTTTTCATAACTCTCTATGTAACACTCCCAAGTCATATCTAATCAACTTTTACTTAGAAAGCTAACTCCTCAATCAATACTTAGCAATACAACATTCCAAGGGTCTGATCATTATTTCATTGAGCAGATGTACTCTCTCGCCTTACATGTTGCTCATAAAAATCCAATTTATAAAAACTTTAAAGTCAGCTTTGCTACTGTACCAAAAAATCTCAATTGTATTGCTTAATAATACCTTAATATTACCTTCTGGATAAGGTAAAATTTTACATAAATTACTATTGGCCTCGTACAATTGATATTCAATCCAATTCACCGTTGCTACTCTGATTATGAGGAAATCGAAACTAGTATTTGTGAAACCTCCCAAGACGAGTGATTATCAAGAAGCTCTAGATTAAACGTTAAAACATAGAATGGGTAGAATATTTTTTTGTTAAAATACATTTTACGCTTCCATCCAGTACGGAAGAGTCAACCGCATTTCCAACACATTTCGTTTTCACTTGGGAGATAGATATTTCGGGAATCCAAGAAACTAAAAACTGCAATGCTGAAATGACATATACGAATGGATCATGTTCTAGAATTTTACTTGTTGAAACGCAGAAACACTTATATGTTGAGAGAAAGGGAGTTGTTTTTGTGTATTTGTGACATGAACCATGTTCGTTGTAAGCAGTCAATAAAAGGTGTAGAACATAAAAGCAGTTCATTCGGCCGTACAAATAGATAGCTTACGCGAGGGCGATGTTGCGAAACCGTCGTGACTATCAATTATGGACGTAGTAATTTATGTCTGATTTCTTCTCTTTCCAAGTCGTTCACTACACTGCGCATCTTGAGTCGATTTCCTTGACCGGTACACCACCGAATACCTTTTTCATTGTAAGCATCTTGTTTACTTCCGATGGACTCTATGCACTCTATCGTCTAGCTGAAGGCAGAAATTTCCAAGCATCAGAAAAGTTTAAAGGCCTGGTATGTAAAGAAAACCAACCTAGACATATAGGCGTCAGTTGAAGAAAAAAATGATATGAGATCACCACATTCGTCTGTCCACATGGACTTCATTGAATGAACCATCAGCGGTGTAATAGCAGTAAAAATTGAAGCACAAACACCGAGAAAGATGCCTTAACTACATTCAACACCACCAGATATATGTCATTGACAACAAGCGACAGCTACTACACAAAATCAACAACACGTTACATCATCCTGCCACACGAAACTCCGTGATATACTAACCATCCACCATACACTCAGAAACCACATGACGCTTTC